GGGTGTGTCTGAAAGACAACAGTAAGAAGCCAAGGAGAAGCAGTAGAAAGGCTGCACAAAGAGTCAGGAGCCCACTGGAAAGGGGTGGGGGAGGAGGTGGGGGTGGGTGGGGGCAGAAAATGGAGACCAAAGCAGTAGACAGTACATTGTTAGAGAGTAGGAAAGGCTGTGGAACGAGACAATTTTACAGCAGAAAAACAAATGAGAGGTGAACACCTTAACCTCTAGGTCAGTAGAGCCCCTCCAGGCGCTGGTCTAAAGACCTTACTTCAGAATTCATACTGACATGAGTCTGTAATGATACAGAACCAATTTGTGTGTGTGTGTGTGTGTGTGTGTGTGTGTGTGTGTGTCTCTCTCTCTCTCTGTGTATGTATGTGTGTGTGTGTGTGTGTGTGTGTGTGTGTGTGTGTGTGTGTGTTTGTGTGTGTGTGTGAGAGAGAGAGAGAGTGAGAGAGAGAGAGTGAGAGAGAGAGTGAGAGAGAGTGTGTGTGTGTGTATGTGTGTTTGTCTGTGTGTGTATGTGTATGTGTGAGTTTGTGTGTGTGTGTGTGAGAGAGTAAGAGAGAGAGAGAGAGAGAGAGAGAGAGAGAGAGAGAGAGAGAGAGAGTGTGTGTGTGTGTGTGTGTGTGTGTGTGTGTGTGTGTGTGTGTGTGTGTGTGTGTGTGTGTGTGTGTGTGTGTGAGTGTGAAGGCGTAAGCCAGATGATAATGGCTAGCGTCTGTATGTACATACTGTTGTTGTTGTTGTTGTTGTTGTTTTTGCTGTTGTTGTTGTAGTTGTTGGTATTGTTGTTGTTGTCGCCATCGCCGTCGTTGTTGTTGCTGTTGTTCTTGTTGGTATTCTTGTTGCTAGTGCTGCTGCTTTTGTTGTTGTTATTGTTTTGTTGTTGTTGTTGTTTTTGTTGTTGTTGTTGTTGATATTGTTGTTTTTTGTTGTTGTTGTAGCTGTTGTTGGTAGTTGTGGCGGCGGTGGTGTTGCTGTTGCTGCTGCTGTCATTGCTGCTGTTATTATATTTTAAGGGGTAAAGGTGGATTTGTCCGTATGAATGGAAAGAAAAGGGCAGAAAGGGGTAAGGTCATAAGACTAGTAATTTTATATGATCAATTAGAGTCCTGTAGTGGTGATTTAAAAAAAGAAACATTAAAGTGGCTGTCTTCATAGTAAATCACCCACAAACCCTTGCGTATTGGTTATACATTTTTAGAAAATGAATCTTTGATCTACTAAATTAAAACGTTGAATGTATACACAATTAGGTTCAAAACAGTAACTTGCGAGGCAGCGGGGTTAAATCAGGCGCTTGTTACGATAATGAATTCGAAGAAAGCGGCATTTTCCGCGCCTGTTGCAATCTTTATCGAATTTTTGCCTTTTGGCTCAAAATATTTTACGACCATTTAAAAACATATTTCTGTTTGGTTGTTGCTGAAAAACGTAGCAGATGGGCACTAAAATGTAATTTTGCAAGTTTCCAAATACTCTCAAACTTTGGAAGTCACCTAAATTTCGCGGCCATTTCTGCTCATTTTACCTATGAAACCAGGCGACCTCCACCTCCTTCAACCACAAATAAATTATCTCGACTTTTTCTTAGTGATAGATGAGAATTGTTTTCATCCAAAGCAAGACAAAGGAGCAAGCCTTAAGGTAATACAAATAACATCACATTCCCTACAACACTTACTGACAAGCGCAAATTCCCTAATCTACCAAAGTCCAGTTTTATTCCTTCATGCAGGTGAACCAAGGTCATATTCTGTCTCGAAGTTTAATTTTCCATAAACTCCCCTAGTGCTCCCCATCCAAATGATATGAAGGCTAATGCGGTAATGCGGTGTTCACACATACAGGAGACGAGTCTACGAGCGATTCCGGATAAGATAATGCCGAATTCGGGTTTAATCGTGATGAGCATCTGGCCATGAATGTTGACATTATTGTGTCGTGAGCACTCAGGGAGACGCTCGCTGAACAATAATTTATTGAGGACGGCAAGTGTCTCCCCGAGCGTCTTGGAGGGCAATAATTATTTTCTTTCAATCCTGGCCGCTTGCAGAGCCAAGAAATGTAGCGGCCGAGCAAAATTTCACACGCCGACAAACTCGCCGACAATGCTGATCATTCTGCCTTCCCGTCGCCGAGTTAGTCGGCCTTCACCCCCGGGGATGTGCCACTGACTGGAGTGTCTTTAGGCCATTCCCAAATGGGGGACATATCTCGTTCAAGCATAGTAGAATTATAAATGGGCTGACTCATGTCACGCTCATAACTGTGCCTGATCTACAACAGGGAACTGCTGCTTTTTCTTTCCTGATCCTTACTATTGTCATTTTCCTCTACTTTTTTTGTATGTTTGTCACTCCCTTGTTACCTGCTATTTTGGGGTGCCTTGATAGTCGAAGCAGACCTTGTGTTGTTGAAGCTAGAGAGGTGAGCAGTCTAAGTCTGATTCCGTGTAAAGACTTCTCTGTTGACACCCACCCCTTGGCGCTCATACGACGTTATGCAGTTGCGAGCGCCGTAAAACCCTCTACTATTAAAAGAAAAAAAATTATTGTCGGTCTGCAATGTTATTATATGTATATAAAGAGGGGGCAAAATGTCTCTGCTCATTCCCTCAACATGTTTCATATGACACACACGATGGATGCGTACTTCATGAATACATAATATCTGGCTTCTGATCTGTAACAAAGAAAGATTCAGAAAGTCATTTTTACCATCATCCATCAAAATTCTTCCGTCTTAACCATCTTGTTATAAGTATCCATATGACCCTAGAGAGCATGCATCAAAACATTGTGTATGTATCTAGCTTAAGTTTATTGTTGTTAATGTTACTGTTCATTTATTTTATGCATGTAACTGTAAGCCTGCGTGTGTGTGCATTTTGTGTGTGTGTGTGTATGTGAGTGTGGGCATGTGTGTGTATGTGTGTGTATATGTGTGTGTGTGTGTGTGTGTGTGTGTGAGAGAGAGAGAGAGAGAGTGAGTGTGTGTATTTGCACCTGGGGAACACCAAACCAAGTTACCAGGATCTGGACAATAAAGATGTTTCTTATCTTATTTGGTGCCCTTGCTGTTGTGCTGGTGAAAGAAGAAGGGGGGGGGGGGGGGAGGAAGAGGAGGAACTGTTGGGTTAGACCATGGCTTATAAGAAGACCCCTGTATGGACACTTTGAGAAACTGATACTGATAGCTGAACTGCTGGTAGAAGATGTGGCATCCTTCGGGAACGTTTGCACGCCGGGCTTGAGTAACCCAGACTCCCCGTGCAAGATTTCTGCACGGCGAGCAATAATTTAACCCGCAGAGTAAGAAATTTAACTCGGGTATCTTTCAGATCTCGTCGGCAGTCACTATCACTTGGCAACGTATGCAACTTTGCACGTCGAGCTGTTTCTGACACTCCCGAGTCCTCCCCGAGTTTTCCTCGAGAGAGTTATTGACTCGGCGACTCATTTTTCGCTCGTCGAAAATTTTAAGCATGTTTGAAAATTTCGGCAAGCGTCCCGTGTAATAATTTCACACGGCGACCATAAAATATCACCCGGGGAAGGGGGCCGATTGCTCGGCGAAATGTATCCAGAGTAGTCCCGACCTGCTGGACTAAGAAATTTTGTCTTACTCGCTTCGTTACTCCTGTGTGTGTGAACACCGCATATGTGTTGGGACAAAGATAAAAATATTTGACAGCAAATTTTTTTTCTTAAATTTCTTACAAGATAACGCAGACCGTAGATCTAAATAAATCTCAAGTAGAACGTCTCTTCTGGAGAGGGAAAAAGACATCTGGCAACGCGTACGTCTTTTTTTTGGTTGGTATTTTGTTTTTACGTACGTCACACCAAGACAAAACATGGGGGCTCAAAGCACAGGTCAGAGGTTAAAATTTAACAGAATATCTCCACTGAGAGAAAGACCCAATCGTAAACTAAGAAAAATTTTCTTTTTAATTTTCTTAGATGATAACGCAGAACGTAGGGTCTAAATAAAGTCTCAAGTAGAACGTCTTTGCTGGAGAGGAAAAAAGACCTCTGGCAACGCGTACGTCTTGCGTATGGAATGACTGAGCTTTAATAGAAATTATATAAACCATTGATGACGTGGTTTGTTTGTTTGTTTGTTTGTTTGTTTGTTTGCTTGTTTGTTTGTTTGTCTGTTCTTTTTGTTGGTATTTTTTTTACATCACGCTAAGACAAAACAAGGGTGTTAAAACACAGGTCAGTGGTTACATTTTAACAGAATATCTCCACTGAGGAAGAAACCTAATCGTAAATGAATTTGTTAAAAATTCTTCTTTTTCAATTTCTAGGTAGGTCTAAATAAAGTCTCAAGTAGAACGTCTTTGCTGGAGAGAGAAAAAGACATGTGGCAACGCGTAGTTCTTGAGTATGGAATGATTACGCTTACAAAATTGTATAAACCGTTGATGACATTTTTTATTTGCTTGTTTGTTTGTTTCTTTGTTGTTTTTGTTGGTATTTTTATTTTACATCACGCCAAGACATAAAAATGGGTGTTAAAACACAGGCCAGTGGTTATATTTTAACAGAATATCTCCACTGAGGAAGAAACGTAATCGTCAATTCAATGCTTAAACTTGTAAGGCAGCGTGGTGAAGTCAAGTACTCGTCGAAATAATGAAGTTGAAGAAATTGGAATTTTTCCTCCGGTTTGGCAATTTTTAAAAATCGAAATTTGTTTTTTTGCTTCATCACCTTTTCATGTTCATTTAAGAACGCATTTCTGTATGGGTTTTTCTAAAAAACATGGATTAAAGGCATAAAATAGATAGATAGATAGATAGATAGATAGATAGATAGATAAATAGATAGATAGATAGATAGATAGATAGATAGATAGATAGATAGATAGATAGATAGATCGATAGATAGATAGATAGATAGATAGAATCTCTCAACTATGTTTGTGTTCCGTGCACAGATGTATAGGTTTTGGTTAAAAAACAACAACCACACACACACAAAATCTCGAACACTATAATTTATTTGCAAAGTTCATCAAAATAATTTAATAACATTTATACAAACAAGAGCTGTCAATTTGGACCATCATTCAAAGTAATGGTCTTGATCTTAGTAATTCCTTCTTGGGTGCCTTTACACGTACAGTTCATTCATCGACAAACTGACAGTTTAACCGACAGACGCTAGATCTGGGTCATCGTTAAACTGACAGTTTGTGGAAGAGAGAAAACGCCAGACTGTCTGGGCACACGGCGGGAACGTTGAAAACGGATGAGTCAGCGATGGAAGCGACAGGGTTGCTGACAAAGATAATCCGCTGTCCTTGTGGAGCTGAGGAGAAGATGGGATCGTTTTAGTTTTAGTTTTAGTAAAGTGTTTTGCTGCACTTGCGACACAATAAGGTCATATAAGTGCCGAACGTTCTCTCGGTTGACAGAAATAACACTTCATGCCTTGAAAGCATCCCTGAAGAGTTGTGACACTCCCCATACGACCTGGGAAGAAGCTGCTCGCGATCGCGCAGTTTGGCGCTCCTTAGTAAGATCTGTAGTCGCCAAGTTCGAAGAAAGACACATAAGAAAGAAAGAATGGAGATGGCAGCTGAGAAAAGACCGAGAGAGCCCTACCTTCCAGTCTAGTTCAGCCCCAAACATCCCCTGCCCCCACTGAAATAGACATTTCCGAGCGAAGATCGGCCTGATCAGCCATCTCCGCACACACCCCACTCCTCCAGTGATGTGAAGTCAAGGTCATCTTCACCGGCAAAGGACGAGCATCATAAGAGCCGAGATAGGATTTGTTGTTATGACTTTCTCCTAAACACTAACTTGCAAACTTTGAAACTATCATGAAAGTTTTGAAAACTACGAATGGAAAGCAAAAAAGAATTAAAAAAGAATGTTTTCAACATATATTTAAATACTAGTTATTCTTTTTGTTCAACGTCTTCTCAGAACTGGTAGTTTGTCTTTATTTTTCTCAATAATATGTATTTTTATATGCACTCGAACAGTTACACACACACACACACACACACACACACACACACACACACACACACACACACACACTACTACTACTACTACTACTACTACTACTACTACTACTACTACTACTACTACTACTACTACTACTACTACTACTACTACTACTACTACTACTACTACTACTACTACTACTACTACTACTACTACTAATATAATAATAATAATGATACTGATATACAAACCCTCAGATATACATGAAAGAACACAAACAAACACACAAACACACAAACGCACAAACACACATATACACGCAAAATGAATACACATTTTCTATATCAAGTTATTTGTTGGCGCGCTAGAAATAATATCGTTATTGAAGAAGAAGAAGAAGAAGAAGAAGAAGAAGAAGAAGAAGAAGAAGAAGAAGAAGAAGAAGAAGAAGAAGAAGAAGAAGAAGAAGAAGAAGAAGAAGAAGAAGAAGAAGAAGAAGAAGAAGAAGAAGAAGAAGAAGAAGAAGAAGAAGAAGAAGAAGAAGAAGAAAAAAGAAGAAGAAGAAGTAGAAGAAGAAGAAGAAGAAGAAGAAGAAGAAGAAGAAGAAGAAGAAGAAGAAGAAGAAGAAGAAGAAGAAGAAGAAGAAGAAGAAGAAAAATTAGTAAGGAGGAACAGCAACAATAACAACATCAGCAACGACAACAACAGCAACAACAACAATAACAAAAAGAATCTACTAACCATCATCTCTCCTGAGCAGGAAGTAAGAGTCAGTTTGTCCAGGCTCTGTGTACGTCAACAGAGTCACATTGGTGTCCTTGTTCACAGGGATCAGCCACGCGTTCAGGTTGACTTTGTTGACGAAACCCTCGAAGACTGTACCAAGGAATACGCTGTTTGCTGTGGACCAGAATAAGAAGGATCTAGATTATACGTTTAAGGCAGGCATTGCCTTCCATTTCCTAGCCGCATGTCGGATTTTGCATAAGAAAATTGGGCAAAATATCAAATAATTGGTTGGAATATTTAAGTTCTCAAAAAGTGAAACTTTAATTGACACAATAGCATTATACATGTATTTCACTCAAGAACGATTCACGAGATAAAAGATAAAATATTAGATCTATTGCTTTCAGCTCTTCCGAAATCTATTTACTTTGATTTTTAAGAAGCGAAGTTTCGTTTTTGTTCGATTGTTTGTTTGAGTAAAGAGAAGCACATCGACGCAACAATGGCCATTGTGCTGGGAAATATTAAAACATACAGACAGAAACAACAGAGGGGAAAGTAAAGAAGTAGGACCTGCCAGTGGCGCCCTCTAACCACCCATAGTTTTGTTTTTAGCAATATCAGAACAGTCTGGGTTGACATAGAACTTTAATTTGTTAATACTATTTAGGCTTTTTATTAGCGAAAAGACACGTTTAGCGATTTTCTTTACAGAAAGTAAAGTCCTGGTTACACGTAACGATAAATTGTACAAAAACCCGACGATCTATCGATCATGAGACAAATCGTCAGGTGTAACCACAAAATTGTACAACGTTTGGATGATTGGACGATGGCTCGGAGACTCGGTCGAGAAATCAAGCGCTGCTTGATATTTTTTGTGCGATCACCCTCAGATTTGGGGGAGACGCGCTGTGAAGTAGAATCACTTTAAAATTTGCTGCCGGATTAGACTTAGGGCTCAAATTAAAATTTAAAAAAACGCAGGTAAAAACTGATTTCATATTCGGAATCAGAATCTCTATATAAGCAAAGTTGCTTGCGATGAACCTGATTTGATCCGTTATTATGCACATTTTAGTAATTTTATTGTTTAGTTGATCGACAATAGTGAATTTGTGTATCAAAGTCACCCATGCGTTGCACATCTGCAGTAATGTTAATGACTAGGAATCTCCCTGATCGAAAGAAAACTGGACGACAGATTGGAACGTCTAAACAGACTTCACAGCTCGATAAAACGGACAGTTCTGGCATACGACGAATTTAACACAATTTATCGTTGCGTGTAACCAGGGCTTTAGAGAGATTATGGGGTGGAAAATGAGTGTATGTTTCCTCCAGAAATAAATGGATATCAACAAATGTTATAACTGGGGGGAGGGGGGGATCTCATCGCTTAGAGATTAAGATGTTCGCCTCTCCATGAAAGGTCCCGGGTTCGAATCCGGCTAGCGACGGAAACATTTTCTTCTTTAAAATTGTCTCCTTTCACCTTCTTTCCTTCTCTCGTGCAATATTCTGTCGACTGCTTTCGTCTCCACTTTTTGTCCCCACCCCCTCACCTCCTTTGCCTCCTCCACTGGGCTCCTGCACTCATTTTGTAGCTTTTCTACTGCTACTCCTTGGCTCCTTCGTACGGCTGTCTTTCAGCCACACACCTGATCTTCTGGTAGGAAAGATCTACACCTAGCATTCTCGGACAAGGGCAAAACATCTCAGAGGTCCCGTGTGCAAGTTCTGCATGTTAAAGATCCATTGGATCGATAAGATTAGGCTTCAGCCGCCACAAGGGCACAATTCAAAATTTCCTACCAACTGAAATGTTTGGTGTATCCGCGCGCTCACATGACCTCATGCAGTTGCAAGGACCGTAAAACACTTACCCCCCCAAAAAAAAATTATTTAAAAAATGATCTAACTAACCTGGAAGACACCTTGTCATATACCCAAGTACAGGCAGAGGCTCCTTGGTACATGCACCTGTTGCGTCAACCAAGTAGGTGATGTTCTGTAAATAATCATACCGTCATAAAGTCAAGGTTGGTCGTTGGGGAACGTTTTGTAAGTTGTACATAAGAATTGACTTTTTACATTTCCTTCAATCTTTGCACAGAATGTCATATTGGGGACTCAGCTGTAAGAATACAAAATGACATATTGAAATAAGGCAATTAATGCAAGGCGAATTACTTATTGATTAAGAACTTTGTATTGTTAAACCAAAAACAAAATCTTCAGTTTTAGATAATATTGATAATGGAAGTTTCTATGAAACATAATCCGCCACACACACACACACACACACACACACACACACACACACACACACACACACACACACACACACATACAAACACACAACACCACACCACACACAAACACACACACATTCACACACACCACACACACTAACACACATACACACACACAAATATACACACAATTTTCTAACACATACAAACATTCTCACTTATAGGATATTCTGGCATCTGATAGCTAAGAACAAAATATGTTATGTCTTTAACCCTATCCGTACGTCGTGTTTTAATATCGTATCCATACGACGTGGGGAACTCTGTGCAACCATTATCCAAAGAGGAAATTTATCCGTTAATCCGATACCTACGCTTTGCATAGTTGTCTGTCAAAATGCTTTTTTGAAAAGTACTGAAAATTTCAAAGAAATCTTCGTACTAGAAGTACTCTAAAATGTGAAGAATACAACCCCGGGGGTAAAAAAAGACCAAGGCGTACAAATAGGATTAGACCTTTCTGGAATAAAAATAATTATTGTAAAGATTTCTTTTACGTTTTTTTTATTCTTTAGATAACGAGCTTAATACATAATTTAACAAAAACACCATTTAAAAGATTGCCTTTATTGCTGAAACCAACTAGGCAGCCCCTTCAATTTTACTCTGTATTTTGTATTTCAGTAACAGGGTTCAGCATTTTCATTGCGTGTGCTCTGCTCAGTATGGCGTTCAACAGATAGAGTCCGTACGTTGTGTTTTACTATCGTATCCTTACGACCCTTATGGAACTCTGTGCCACCACTTTCAATGAGGAAATTTACTCGTTAATCCGATCCGTACGCTTTGCATAGCAGTCTGTCAAAACGATTTTTGAGAAATACTGAAAGTTTCAAAGAGATCTTCGTATTAGATGTATTCTAAAAAGTGAAGAATACAACACCTGGGGTACAAAATGACCCCATGGGGTATGGATAGGGTTAAAGAGCATTTTAATAACAAGATAAAGAAGTATTTTCCGTGCTTACAGTATTGAGGTCTGACACTCTCTTTCCTTGAGCAGTGACAGTTACAAATTTGTTCTGAGTGAAGTCAATGGACACGTTTGCCTGGATCTGAAATAAACAAGAATCAACAGAAATAAATCAAATCCCTGCACATTTTTATCGTTCCAGGGCACAGTATCTACATTTCCACACGCTTCAAAATTCAAATTTAATGATAAATTACCCCTTTATTTTAAACAGGTATGCATAGACAATGTAACAGTCCTTATTGCGAGAGAGGAAGAAAGCTGGGGTTCCTGTGTGAAGGACGTGGAAAGATTTGTGTAGGGAATGAACAGTAATTGAAAAAGCAACTGATGTCCAGTTTCAACATATTCTTTTTGAAAAACAACAAAAACAACAACACAAAATAAATAAACAAACAACAATAAAACAACGGTTTGAGCGTATCCCATGAAATGTAGACATGAGTATCAAACCAGCTGCAGTAACAGAGCCATCAAAATCTACTACGAAGGTCGAAAAACTACAACTCTCGACCCATGGGTCAATGGACGCCAACATTTACGATGCTTTGTGGCCCTACTAAACGTTAAGATAAAACGGTAGTGTGGTCCGCACTTTTTTCTCACCCCCCCCCCCCGGGGGGCGATGCTACTGACTGGAGTGTCTTTAGGCCATTCCCAAAGGGGGGACATTTCTCATTCTAATGTATAGTAGAATTGATCCATCAATGTCATGCTCATAGCTGTTCCTGAACTACATCGGGGACCTGCCGCTTTTTCTTTCCTAATCCTTACTATCGTCATTTTCCTCTACTTCTTTTGTATGTTTGTCACGCTCTTGTGACCTGGTATTTCCGGGATGCCTTGAGAGATGAAGAAAACTTTGTGCTGTTGAAACTAGAGAGGTGAGCAGAGTAAGTCTGATTCCCTGTAGGGACTTCTCTGTTGACATCCACCCCTTGGCGTTCAAATGACCTTATGCAGTTGCGAGCGCCGTAAAACCTCTTCTGAAACAAAAACTGAAAACTTTTTTCTCATAATAAACACATTTCCTCTAGTTGTCGTGGATTTTAATTTATCTTCAGCTAGTTCTCGTGGCAGATTTCGGTAGTGTTTGTTGACCAGTTTTAACTGTGATTTCCAGCTTGTTCTTTAACTCTCTTAGCACTATAAATAGGTCAGCAGGTCAGCAGGTCACCACAGCAGCACCTAAATGGCGGTCAGCTGATTGCTTTCCCAAACAGAATTATTTGATTGTTTTTCAGAAGTTCAGAGGGAGTTGCAAAGAAATTGCTTTTACTTTTGATGAAGGGATATATTTTAGTTAGTTATAGTAAGAGTTTTACGGCATTAACAACACAATAAGGTTATATAAGTGCGGGATATATTGCAATGAAATTTCACGTACAAAGACCTAGAAGGTCAGCATCTAAATTTAGCGCGGAATTTTCTTATTTCTAAGCCTGCAGAAAAGGCAGGTGTGTCAGCCAGGTAAAAGCCTGTATGGTTCTACAGCGGGAAAGTCGTTAAAAGCCAGTATGGCATTATGGCCGGAAGGCGGGTTTAGCTTAAAAAACCCCCGGTTTAAACAAACTTGGCAACCATGTCTTGATTAAAAAACAATATATCCCATCGTTAACTGTTAGCATCATTCCACTAACACGATGCTGTAACATGTTTAAGAGAACAAAAGATTTAAATATCGGTGAAATGAAAAGTTACATGAATTTGTTTCAAATAATGAAGTGTTTTGGACTGATCTGGGATTGACGATATCAACGCGGGCATAAAAAGGAACAGTTGAAAATATTTTGGACATGTTTCGAGAATGCCAGAGACAAGACTGCAATGGTACTGGAGAGCAAATGAAAAAAAAAAAGGAAAAGATGTAGACCAGCTGACGGTTACAAAAGCACGGTCGGTGATAAGGCATTCACCCAGGGCCAGGATGTGCCAAGGTAAAAAAAAAGTGTCCAGGGACAGACAGGTGTGGGGTCCACTGTTCTCTGTCTTGTGCACCTGGCTCTATTGGGAAGGAGTAGGTAAATAAGTCAGGAAAGAAGGAAGGGAGGAAGAAAAGAAGGAAGGAAAGAAAGAAGGAAGGAAGAAAAGAAAACCTAACTTGATAAATGTTATTACTATTACTATACTTACTATCATTATAATTACGATAATTATTATTATTATTCCCGGTTATTATTATTATTATTATTATTATTATTATTATTATTATTATTATTATTATTATTATTATTATTATTATTATTATTATATTATTATTATGAGTATTATCATTATTATTATTATTATTATGGATACTAACGTGACTAGTCAAGCCAAAGATGAGTGCGGTACTCTTTTCTGGCAGGCAGAATGTGGTGGGGTCTGGAGCAGCCAGAGTGTAAGCCACAGGGGCCACAAGGAGAAAGAGAGCCAGGAACTGCATGCTGGGAAATACATGGAAGACGAAATAATAATGTATTGTTTTATTGCATGTGTTTTACAGTCCCGATCGCCCCAATTTAGATAATTTGGGAGGTGATCTTCCGGGCAGAGATGATATTCGCCCTGCAACCCCCTCCCCTCCCTTGTGACGTCTTAACTCTACGTGCGGAAAGTTTGATCCTGAATTCGCCCCCCCCACCCCCCCCCCCACACCTTCTTACCGCTGTTTTTCAGCCACACCCCTGGTCTTCTGGTAGGAAAGATTGACACCTAGCCTTCTCGGAAAAGGGTGAAAAATCTCGAAGATCTCGCGTGCAAGTTGTGCACGTTAAATATCCCCTGGTGGTCTAGAATCGATAAAAGTAAGCTTCGGCCACTACCCGGCTTTCAAAATTTTCTACCGACTGATAATGTTTAATGTGTCCCGCGCGCTCGTACGACTTTATGCAGTTGCGAGCGCCGTAAAACACTTACAAAAACAACAAAACAATTGTTTCTTTATTTTGAAACACTATTTTATTTCATATATTGTAGTTCCCCCTGCTTACCAAAAAGAGGTTGGAATAGGACTTCAGGCAACGTACAGTATTTTACGTTGTATATCAGTGATCAAATATGGGATAATAACTAGAGAGGTTAGAGAATGACATAAAACATGCACTTTTCGTGAGACAGAAGCCACCGCAATAATCCACCTGACCAACATTTTCGATATAGATCTATATCCAGTTAAAATTAATGACACTGTAGTCTTCACAGATGAAAGATCAGTAGCCCTTGCTTAGGAAAACATGAATTTCGAAAGCCCAGCCTGCCTGTCTGTGTCTCTAACGATCAACATCTTCATGCAGACCTATGCCGTCGACCTGACTTTACACTGGATTCCTGACCACATTAACATCCCAGGAAACGACAGAGCAGACACCCTTGCCAAGATAGGAGCATCACAAACACAACCTTAAAACCCAGTATCTCAACGGACAGTCAAGAAAGTCATCAAATGCAACACCAGAGAACAGTGTCTGAATGGATGGGCAATAGACAAAACTGGAAGAACTATATTTGCACACATGATTTCTCCCATGTCAAAAGATGCTCTACATCTCACTGCGCACCAAGATTCGACTTTTTAACTCCAACGTCAAGTCTGTGCTCCTCTACGGCTGCGAAACTTGGAAGACAACGAAGACAGTACTGAATAAGGTCCAGACTTTCATCAACAGATGTATGAGGAGTATTCTAAGAATTAAGAGGCAGGATAGAATAAGAAATGAAGAGCTGTGGGAAAAGACAGGACAAACGGATATAGAAGTAGAAATAGGACTAAGAAAGTGGCAATGGATGGGACACACCTTAAGAAAGCCCAGCGGAAACATCACAAGACAGTCACTGCAGTGGAACCCACAGGGAGCACGAGGCAGGGGTAGGCCACGAGAAACATGGAGGAGATGCGTGGAAAGGGACATGAGAGAAATGAAGCTCACTTGGAACGAGCTTGGAAGGATGGCTCAGGACAGAGATAAATGGAAGGAGCTTGTATGTGGCTTATACCCTGCCAGGGGTGAAAGGCATTGACGATGATGATGATTGAATAGATGCTCTAAATTCCCCGAGTAGAAGAGACCAAATCACTATATTTCAAATGTGAACACAACGCATCCCACTGAATTCCTATCTAAACAGGATCCGCAAGTTTACCTCAACTGACTTCCCGTTGTGTTACTGCCAGAACGAAACAGTATCACACCACGTCTTTACTTGCCCTGAACTTGGAGACTTACATAATACCTGACTACCTGCCTTCCCAGATGTCGAAAATACTCCACACAGCGACAAAATGCAGCTGATAAAAACCTGTAAATTCTTTGCCATATTGGCAGGCCGAAGGGCTAGAACCTAAATAGCCGCTGGATCGGAAAAGTAAAAAAATTAAGAATGTGTTGCTAAGGCAACTCGCCTGGCTGCAGACAAACGGAATTATCTCCCCTTGACGCTCACCGGTATCGGTGGCAGGGGTGGCTAAAGTTCAAGTGTTCCGAGTACCCCTGTGACCATCCATGTTCCATGTCCCCAAAATAGCTGTACACCATTGATGAGACCAAACACACAACCCACTCGACAATTTAAAGCGTTATTTCCTATGATGGAAAAAATCAAATCAAACCAGAGAGCATTTATCGTTCAGTCCCTATGATTAGATTCCGATAAAACATATAATTATAAAACATAGTGAAAAAAAATCATGTTTATTACGACAGACATAAAACAATACAATTGTCACCTAAAATGCCAGTATTTAATCTTACTTTCTTTTTTTTAAATATATGGTGACGTACGCTTTTTATGTAACATTAACTTAACGACCTGACGCACAGTTTTGGAATATGGCATAGATGTGGCCTTGGCATATTCAGACTTTATTTTAATCAGCTTTTTAGGTGCGTACAACAGGAATAAATTATGCATTGTCCGCTTTTTATGCAGTGACCATAAAGTTTGGAGCAAATTTGAACTAAGCCCTACTAATAACTTCTCCACAAATATAACTTATTCTCGTCTTATTAGTTTTAAACACAAAAAAGTATCGGTGACTTCCGAGAGTGAATGCCATTTTGTCAAAAGATAAAGTGACGTTCTCAAACAATCATAAGAGGATAAAAAAACAAAACAACGGTTTTTGTCATTCTGGTCGGAACCAGCCGATAGACGAAAACAACCTAACGAAGATATCAAACGACTAGATAAACAAACTGTCGGTAGTACCTGATAGAGGGTATCTGGGAGATGTAATTCTGTGGACTTATGAGTGGACATTTATAGAAGGCCTTCAAGGGGAGTTTACAGGCCAAGCACTTGTATTATCTGAACTCTCAATTTGTAAAAAAATGAGGTGATTCTGACCCTACATCATGACACCGCGGATAAAGAAAATGATAACATAGTACACAATTAGTTGTAATGTCCGACATTTTGAGGGAAGACAATGACGCATAATGTTGGCGTACACTTTGTTTTGTATTTGATGTCTTTTACTAAAATAGTCAACTGCCATCGAAATGTTTTAAGTGTTTGTTTGAAGTATATCTCCAATTTTTAATCTGAATTCTGACAATATAAAAAATATAATTATTGCAGAGTTTTAAATAAAGCTCACTTAATTGCCTCTGATCTTCAATGAGAGATACCTTACCCCAATCGAGAGAGAGAGAGAGAGAGAGAGAGAGAGA